GACTGTATCATTTAACATTTCCCCTGGTCATATAGGAAGGCTGCAATTTCTCTACATCCTTATTAGCACCTATTATGTTACTTTTTAATTTTAGCCATCTTAGCAGGTGTGGCTGGTTTCTCGTTGTGGTTTTGATACACATTTTTCTAATGACTAATGAAGTTGAGCATCATTTTATGTTCTTACTTTTCATGTGTGGGTACTCCCATTTCCTTTGAAGAATGCTTAATTTTAAATTGGGCTAATTTGTTATCAAAAAAATACCATTGTTGAGTTGTAACATTTCTATATATCCTGAGTACAAGTTCCTTATCACATTTAAGATTTGCAAATATTTCTCTCACTCTTATTACTTTCTTGAAGTTGCCTTTAGAAACAAAAACGCCTTATTTTTTTATTTGAAAAACAAAGTGCACATACACAGAACAGAAAGAGAGAGAGAGAAGGGGGGTGTAGAGTTAGATCTTCCATCTTCTGGTTCATTCCTGAATTACCCACAATAGTCAGGGTTGAGTCAAGCAAAGCCAGGATTCAGGAACTCCATCTGATTCTTCCAAGTGGATGGCAGGCACCCAAGTAATTGGGAAGCATTATTTGCTTCCTTCAAGTGAATTACTAGGAAGACGGATTGGAAATGGATAGAGGGCTGTTGAAGTGGTTAAGCCACCACTTTGGATGAATCCCAGCTAATCTGTGCTTTTAATTCAGCTTACTGTAAATGTGTCTGAATGGCAATAGTTAGATGATGGGTCAAGTGCTTTTCCACCACCCACGTGGGAGATCTGGATTGAGTTTCTAGGTTCCTGGCTTTGGCCTGGCCCAGTTCCAGCTCCAAGCTCCACTATAAGCAGATGAAGGGTGAACCAAAGGATGGGAGTTCTCTCTTACTCTGACTTTCAAACATATACCTTTTTGTTTTGTTTTTGTTTAAGGGAGGGCCCAGCACAAAGGCTGAATGGCTAAATCCTCATCTGGCAAGTGCCAGGATCCTATATGAGTGCTGGTTCATGTTTTAGCTGCTCTACTTCCCATCCAGCTCCTTGCTTGTGGTCTGGGGAAGTAGTGGAGGATGTCCCAAAACCTTGTGAGCCTGCACCCACATGGGAGAACCAAAGAAGCACCTGCCTCCTGCTAATCTCAGCTCTGTGGCCGTCACAGCCATTTGGGGAGTGAACCAGCAGATGGAAGATCTTTCTCTCTGCCTCTCCTTTTCTCCATAAAAATCTGAATCTGCCTTTCCAATAAAAATAAATAAATCTTTAATTAAAAAACAAAAAGGGAAGTGGAGGTTGGCCTTGATTCCAAGCACTCTGCTATATAATGGGATGTCCAAGTGGTTATTTAATATACTGGAAAGCCTAGTTCAAACAGTTCTAATTTTGACAAGGTCCAGTTTATCTTTCCTTCTGTCATTTGTGCATTTTAGTGTCACATCTAAGAAGTCATTTCCTAATATAAGAGCACAGATACTTAATTACAATTTTCTTTGAAGAGCTTTATAGTCATAAAGAGCCTTTATAGGGCTCTTCCTTTAGGTCAGTACCCATTTTGACTTGGTTTTTGGATATGGTATGAGGTAGAAATTAAATATTTTTTATTTTTTACATGTGGCTATTCAATTGTAAACACAATTTTTAACCCGATTGAATGGTCTTGTCTGAAATTATATAGTTATTTTTTTTTAAGATTTATTTTATTTTTATTGGAAAGTCAGATATACAGAGAGGAGGAGAGACAGAGAGAAAGATATTCTGTCTGACAATTCACTCCCCAGGTGACCACAATGGCTGGTGCTACGCCTATCCGAAGCCAGGAGCCAGGAACTTCCTCCAGGTCTCCCACGCAGGTGCAGCATCCCAAGGCTTTGGGCCGTTCTTGACTGCTTTCCCAGGCCACAAGCAGGGAGCTGGATGGGAAGCAGAGCTGCCAGGACTAGAACTGGTGCCCATATGGGATCCCGGCGCGTTTAGGGTGAGGACTTTAGCCACAGCGCTGGGCCCCTGAAATTATATAGTTATTATGGAACTTACCACATTTTGCTTCATTTTATGCTAAAGTAAACCTTTCTCATTGGAATATAAGGAACATCTTTTTGCTCAAATAAAAATGTATGTGAAAAGCCCCCATCATGGGGCCCAATTATGAATATGTCTTTCTTCTTTTTTTTGAATCTTCTCACAGCACATTGTGTAGTGCTTGGTGCATAATACTTGGTCACCATAAATATTGGTGGAAAGTAAAGGGGTTGAGCATGCACCCTGAAGGAAGGAAGTGAATTTCCAAATTTTGGCTGGATTGGAGATCCAAAGCAAGTCTCATGAGTGTCTAAACTAAGACTCCAAAGAATAGCAGACACTGAGCCCACCAATGTTGTTGAAGCTGTGTTGCAGCCAAGATGGGAGCCTCCCAATTATCTGTTAGCCTTGAAGGCAAGTGACAAATATGCTCTCACTTCCAGTGAACCCTTACAATGAGAACAAGCCTAAAAGTCTGGACTCTTTCCCCTTTCTGGTTTAATTTCCAGTTCTCCAAGGGTCTACTTATTTAACGGCTCAAGTGGTAATAACGTTTTAAACTTGTGGACTTGACCTCAATTTCTGAAAATCAATGGTGTCTCTTATCTGCCTAACAGAAAGATTTTCTCGGGCAGCAACAAGCACAAATGAAAAGGCAAAGAAACAGCACTCAGGGACGGCAGGCCAGTCTATTTTCAGTGACCCCTTTCTCCCTTTCTTCCTGGTCTTAGATGCTGAACATTAGGGGCGCTCACACTCCCTGCAAAGTAGAGCAAGCGGCTGAAAATAAAAGCCTGCTCACCTCAAACTGGAGTTTCCTAAGGTTTCATATCCAGGCAATGTTTCTCCCTGCCGCTTAGGGATCTGCTATCTTTTTTTGGTGAGATTTCTAGAATCTGTGCCGTCCCTGCCCCCCGCCATGTGAAAGTCTATACCTGTAGCATCTAAGATGCACGTTACACAGCCATGCCTAACACCTTTCGTTATGCAGTTAGCTCCAGTTCTGAAAAACTTTCACAGGGGTAGGTCCCCCCGCCGAGTGCTCCAAATTATAGTCTCTAACTCCAGAAGTCAGTGTTTTGCTCCCTGGCCAAATCATCTCTCTATAAATTATCAGGTATGGGGCTCTCTAAACACATTTTCTGCCTATCTTTTTATGGATTGTGCTGAGACACAACAAGGTTTCATCTTTCTTTTTTAATTGAAGGATTTGCTGCTCTTCATTTGAAAGGCAGATTTTACAGAGAGGGAAGGAGATAGAGAGAGTAAGATCTTTGACCTACTCAATCAATCCCCAAATGGCTGCAATGGCCAGAGCTGTCTCCACATCCTTTTGCCTTCTCTAACACTTTGATGTGTGCTATCATTTCTGGCCCTTGTAGAGCTGAGCTGATCTAAAGCTGGGAGCCAGGAGCTTCTTCCCCATCTCCCATGTGGGTGTCCTACATTTCATCTTAAAAAAAAAAAAAAAACTTAAAAATTCATTTGACGGGGAGGACCTTGCTGTGGTATAGAGGGTTAAACTACTACCTGCCATGACTGCATCCCATGTGGGTGCTGGTTTGTGTCCTGACTGCTCCACTGTGGATCCAGTTTCCTGCTAATGTGCCGGGGAGGCAGGCAGAGGATGGCCTAAGTGCTTGGGCCCCTGTTACCCATTTGGGAGACCCAGAAGCTCCTAGCTCCTGGCTGGGGCCTGTCCCAGCCCTGGCTGTTGCAGCCATTTAGAGAAGTGAACCAGTGGATGGAAGATCTTTCTGTGTCTCTCCCTCTTTGTAACTCTGCCTTTCAAATAAATAAAATAATACTTTATAAAAATTTAAAAATTAATTTGGGGAACAGAGAGCTCCCACTCACTAGTTCACTCTTCAGATGTTTTGTAAAACAGCCAAATCTGAGCCAGGAGCTAAGAATTCAATTCATATCTCCCACCTGCTTGGTAGGGACCCCCCAACTACTTGAGAAGCACCTGTTGCCCCCCGAAGGCTTGCATTGACAGGTGACTACAATGAGGAGTCAGAGGTGGTAACTGAACCCAGGTCCACCTGATATAGGATGCAGGTGACTTAACCACTAGGCTAAATCCCCACCCTTACCATGCCAGACTTATTGTCATGATCATCATCATCATCATTGCAGTCTTATGTTCGTAGCCAAACTGAGGTGAAGACAGAGCATACCCATATTCTCCATATTGGGGGGGTAGGAGAATATGGGTATGCACAGCTTCTCCCATAGCTGTCACCTCTGGCACTCAGAGTGGTAATTTTGCCACAATTGGTGCACCAATGGGGATACATCCTTTTTACCCAAAGTTTACTGTTGGTGTCACAATCTCTGGGTTTTGACACATGTAAGACAAAATGTATTCACTTAAAGCACAGAGCACTTGCACTCCATGAGTTTTGCAGAGAGACTAGATTTGTACGAGGTGAAAAGAGAGGGAAAGAACAAAGCATGCCAAACAGTAGCTCCATCCAAGTCCATGGCAAGTTTGTCCCGAGTTCAACAGCTCCCGGCCGTGCCATCTCCCCAAGCCCCCGCTCTGAACAGGTTCCTCCTCCTTTTGTTCAAGTGTCAAAGCAAATGCGTTTCCTGTTGACACCAGAATATCGGGCAAGGGCAGGAAGCGGACAGGCCACCTCCTCTTTCTCCCCCTTCCCATTCCGTTTATTTATTTTGTGCACGTTAGTTTGGGTCGAGCGTGCGCGGCGGTGGGACGGCCTCTGGGGCCGGTGACCCCTCCCCGAGGAGGCGAGGCCCGGCTCGAATCCGCCCGGTCCCAGGCTGGACCGCGGCGCGACGGGGCGGGGACCGGGAAGAAGAGAGTAGGAGAGAGAGAGAGAAAGCCCAGGGCGAGAGAGGCCGCCGGTGCACCGTGAGGAGGCGGGGGAAAAGGCAGCTCTCTGCCGCTGCAGGTGGAGTTCACCCAGGGGACCGTTTCCGCAGCCGCCGCCGTCTCTCCGGAGCCGGGCTTCCCTGCCCCGAAGGTGCTGGCGTGAGGCACCCGGGGCCCGCGGACTGGGGGGCGCCCGGGCCCGCCGTCCCCGGCTGCGCCTCCGCGCCTCGCTCATGGCTGAGGGCCGGCGGCGGGAGGACGACGAGGAAGAGCTGCGCGAGCGCCGCGAGCTTGGGGGCCCGCGCCGCGCCCGGGGCCGTGCGCTCTCGGGCCACTCGGCCGCAGGTGAGGGGGCGCGGCGGCGCGGGCGCGAGTGGGCTGGGAGGCGGGCACCGGCAGACCGAGAGAGCTGGGCGCTTCGGGACCGCCCAGGTCCTGCCAGGGCGGCGACTGCTCCCTCGCCGGTCGGGATGGGACCGGCACCTTTAACTCTGGAGGCAGAGAGCCAGGGAGGAGAGAGCGAGCCTTTGCATCCTCATCCTCACTTTCGGGTCGAGCCCGAGGAAATTCAAAAGGCGTTCTCTACCTGCCAGTGGCCAGGGAGAACCGAGACTCCCAAATGGGCGTGCAGAACTCAATCCAGGAGGTAGCTTCTGGCTTGGAATTAGTGGCCAGGGCGATCGCTTATCTCTGGATGAGTCAGAGGCCAGTGGGGAGCTCCCAGGGTCTGGCAGCCTCCATACACCGCGACACCTCCCTCCCCTTTCTCCCGTTGGGTTTGCCTGCCCTGGCTGCCGCCAGGTCGGCCACGTGCTCACACTGAGTCAAGGCTGGCGGTAGGCCACCCGTGGACTTCGGACCTGGGATTATCCTCTCCCCCCCACACCCACTGTCGGAGCTCCCCAGATTTTTTTTTTTTCCTTATGACTTGCGTTGGAGTTGTTTTTGGAGCACACCCGCTTCCTCCAAACTCCATGAAATTAAAGTCCCAAATAATAGCATATCCAAAGGCAGTGAGGCTAAGAATCATTTCTGGGCCTGCAATTACTTTCATGATCTTGTGTGGTTTGGGGTGCACAGGCACGCGAGCAGCACGGATGTAACAGAGGGGCACATGTGTGGAAGAATAAGTGTAGCTCCAAGATTTCCTTCTTCCTTCTTAAATCATACAATGGAGAAGACATTCTTGGGCCTTTGGTTCCAACTGGATGAGCCCAGTTATCTGAAAACAAGAGGGAAAACACACCTGGATAGGGGCAACAAGAGGGAGAGGAAGTGAGAACGATCCCAATGAAAACAAGGTTAGAGAGTGGGAGATGGTGAATTCTCCCTCCACCAGTTAGCTTCTATGAAAGCTGAAAACTTAACAGAAGGTAATGGATTTGGTGGAGGAACCATTGGAGGGTAGGAAATGGGGTGAAAGAAAAGAAACGGTGAAGAAATAGTCTTGGAACCTTAAAGAAAATTCTTCCTGTCTATTACCAGGACTTTTCATCAAGATAAGGTGTTTGACAACCTACATAAACACCAATTGTTTTAAAAGTAATTGATAGTTTTGTTGAATATAAACCCAGACCTTGTGAAATAATGAGTAATTACTGGTATAAGTAAATATTTCTTGCAAGAATACAATGAACACACATTAGGAAGATGAACCTCTCTCTAATCACTGATTGAAACGGTGGAGGCTCTTTTGGGCTCCGATAACTACCCTTCAGCAATAAACAACTCCATACTTTAAAGGGCAGTTGTAGAGTTCAGACTACTTATGACCCAGTTTGACCCCAGTTGAATGTGTATCATTTAGTTGCAATATGTGTATCTAATCCAAGGCTGGTGGAAGGGTTATATTAGTCACTTATCTTTTTTTTTTTTAAACCAATTCCATAATTTCACAAGGCTGAATTTCCAAACTCTGATAATTTTTCGCTGAGCCAAGACATTGTATATACTTCTTGCACTCAGAAATCAGTGTTCAGTTGGCCATTCATGTGCCTTTTTTCTGGAAAGGGTGAGGGGACTGCAGTAGCATGGGGTGGGTAGAGAGTTGGACCTGCAGTTTGGGCTTTTATTTTGGGAATAAATTATGGAATAGTTTACATGACAAGCCGTGTTTCTGTTTTCCCTCCTGGCCTCGCATGTGTTTCAGACACCATCGCATTCCTTACCAAGCTTGGGCATTTGTTGGTTATGTCTGCGCTGCCTGTTGCTCTCCTGCGTGAGGGTGTGAGCCAGTCCAGGAGCTTCGGGTTTCCTTTGAGGCTTTGTGATCTTTCCTTTTCCTGTTCCCAGTGTTGCCCCCCTTGTCTCTCCTCTAGATAACGATTTTCCTTTTCTTTGATCTCTCCTAACTAGAGACCATAAACTTGGAGTTTATAGTCAACTTGAGGGACTCCATGAACTCTTTTCCTGCTAAATGTAGATGTGGCTGTGTGAGTGCCTCTATTTTTTTTTTTTATTTTTGCTAAACATATATAGAAGAGCATGTAGCACTTGTAAATGATAAAAAAAAAATGAACTTTCAAAGCTCATACCCAAAGCAGACTTCCCTGTGCTCCCAGACATAGCTTTCCTCCTGCCCCTGGAGGTGATGTTTACTTCTTTATTTACTTTTGTGATGAATTCATTTCTTTTGGGTATAGTCTTACTATGTACTTCAGTATACAATAGTGAGAGTCTTACCTGTTCTACAGCTTCGTGTCAGTAGGGTACTCCTTTATGTGTGTTCTTCAGTGCTGTGATTTGTGTTTGTTCAAGTTGATTGCTGTTTTTATCAGCCCAGAAGCAAGCAGGTCATGACTTGCAATTATGAATTGTCTGGGTTGAGTTCTTCTCATTCAGAAGCCTGGTAATCCATGCACATGAGGACAGTCCTGGGAGAACATCCTTAGGAAATCAATGTGCTTTTGAAATGATGCTACTTTAAAAATTTTTTTTAATGTTCACCTGTTTTTTGTCTACTAGGAAGCTGAGAGACACATGCAGAGAGGGATGGAGGGGGAGAGAGATCAAAAGAGACTCTTCCATCCTCTGTTTCACTCCTCAAATGCCTGCAAAAGCTGGGAATGCACCAGGCCAAAGGCAGAAGCTCTCACATTGGTGGCAAAGCCCAAGCCCTTGAGCCATCATCTGCTGCCTTCCAGGGATTCATAAGCAGGAAGCTGGCACTCAGTTTCGCACTCTGATGTGGAATGCAGGAGTTTAACCCATTGTGCCTTAACAGTAACCCCTTGGCTTCAACCAGATGGCTAAAATAAACAAAAAGTCCAGTTGACATTTTGCAGAATTGTTGGAGCAAGCAAATGCTGAGTGCAGTGACGGTTGGCTCTGTTTTGTTTACTCTCTTGAGAATGAGAGGGAGGGAGAGAGAATTCCCATTTGTTGGCTCATTCCCCAAATGCCTATAGTATTGGGGAGCCAGGAATACAATCCAGTTCTACCATGTGGGATGTAGGGACCCAGTTATTTGAGCCATCACCACTGCCTTTGTAGGACCGCATTTGCAGGGAATTGGAACTGGAAATTGAACTCAGGCTACCCCCTGTGACGTAGGCTGCAAGTGTCAACTGCTATGCTGAATGCCTGCTCCTTAGTAAAAATTAATTGTGTAGGAATTCATGATCCGTGAGATTAAGTTCTGACATAGGAATGACACCTGGGGAACAGAATGTTGCAGTTTGAGTGTCATGTACTGATGCTAAGGTGTTATGATTCTCTAATGTGAAATATTTACTGTTGGTGGTGACAGCCAAGATCAGTTGCCTGATCTGCTATAGGGTGGTAATATAAAATCTAGACTCAACATCTGACTTCTTGGGGAGAGTGAGTACACTAGCTCAGCAGTGCTCCAACTTGATTTGTGTAGCAGAATCACCCGAAGTGTTTATCCGGAGGTGGACTGCTGGGCCCCTCTCCCCAGGGTCTCTCATTCAATTGGTCTGGGGTGGGGACCTGAGAATGCTCATTTTGAATATGTTTCCAAGTGACAGAGATGCTACTGGTCCAAAAGGGTGTTGCTTTTTGCAAATCGCCTGTAGCTAAGAGATTCATCATACCTGGCACACTGAGGCTTAAATTCTAAGAGTTCTTTGGTTCATTTGTCCTTTTGGAAAGGTCTATGAGAAACCATGAGTTAAACATGGAGATCCTTGCCAGCTTAGTGTCCATTCTGGGTGTCCTTCGTAGCTTTTAAGGCTGTCATGGCTGATTGACACAGCCCAGCTTTTAAAATCAGCTTCGTCCTTTGTAGTTGCTTTTCTTTTTTGTCTCATTAACTGAATATTCTTCACTTCTGTGTAAGTTTGGTGTGTTAGTGCCAGTGTGTTAGTTACTGCTAGCCTGGGACAGAAGAAGTGGCGGGGAGGCGAGAATAGGCAGAAGATGGGGTGAACACCCCTTGGGTGTTCCCAAGATTGCCCTAGCTTTTAAAACTGAAAATTTTCCATAGTAAGAATGGTTAGTCACCCTAGTGGAAGGAGAGTTTGTGAGTGACCTTGGAGTGCGGGAAGAGAGGATAAAGGCTACTGATGTTTATGCAAAATTCACAGCTTCTCATTGTCATGATTTTTTTTTTTCTACTCAAGGCTGTTTGTAAGATTTTTTCGTATTGTTACATGTAGCTGTAATTTGTTTTTGTTGCATAAATATGCCTTGTGTCTGTTACTTAAATAAATAAATACTTAATTTGACAAGCAGAGAGACAGAGAGAGCCCCCATTTTTTGGTTCATTCCTTAAATGCCTGCAGCACTCAGATTTGGAGGCTAGACTAAAACCAACCAGAAACTCGGTCCAGATCATTCATCTGAGTGGGTGTCAGAAACCCAGTTACTTCGGCCATCATTATTGCCTCCCAGGGTCTGCATTGGCAGGGAGCTGCAGCAGGAGCCATAGCTGGGAGCTAAACTCAAGCACTCCCATGTGGGACTTGGCGATCTTTATCTGTAGGGTAAACACTGGCTCCCTGGAGCTTCAAATTTTGTTAGTTATGTCTAGCAAATACCATTTTCCATCCTGTGGCTTGTTTTAATTTTATGTATGGTTTATTTTGATGTAGTGATTCTTTGTTTTCTTATATGGATTTGTGAATCTTTTCCTTTATGAATTATCTCCCCCTTCTCCCTTGATTAAGAATGCTATCCCTAACCTAAAGTCATAAAAATATTCACCTTTCTGTTCTTTCCTGACTCCTAAAAGATTTGTAGTTGATCTTCTCTAAAAAAAAAAAATTTGTATTTATTGGAAAAGCAGAGTAAGGGAGAGAGTTCCCCACAGGCCTGCCAACAGTCAGGGGCAGGCCAGGTCAAAGCTGCGATCCTGGACCCAAGTACTTAGATACTTAGGCTAT